TTAGCTTTAGCCATTTAGCTAACCAACGGCAGGAAAACAACAACAACTGCTGTGGGGGACATCCACAGAGAATGGGGTCTGCAGGCAGGACCCAAAACTCTCCGGAAAAGCATCATCCCTTTGCCAACCGAAGGACATAAAGCCAACTCTCAGCCCCGGCCAGAGATTCCTGTTCTAGTGAAACACAGTCAGCTCGTTTTCGGCCATTTTCTGCTGCGTTTCCACATATCAGACGCTGTGATTTACATCCGAACAGCCTTCCAAGCTCGGTCCAAGCAGGCGGCTCTGCTTAAAGAAGGAAAGGCAAAGAAAACCGTGTTTTAAGGCGGCAGGTTTGCCTTTTTTAAATACGTTTTAAGCGTGTATAAACAGTCATAACATCCTTTTCTTTCTATGCTGGCCTCATTTAGCTGAGATTGCGTTTCCTTATCAGAGATGTTCAGTAACAAGTACAACTACTTAATTACTGTACTTAAGTAACAAAATGAAGTATCTGTACTTTATTGGAGTATATATATTTTTTCCCTACTTTTACTTTTACTCCACTACATATTTTCGATTAATTTAATACCTTTACTTTTACTGAATCGTTACTGGTAACTGATATGTAAACGTAATGAATCATCCCCAGTCACAGAGTCAGAGCCAGAGCTCTAGATAGCTCTGTCAGGGTTTGGGAAGCTGGCTCCTCATTGGTCGATAGCCTATAAAAAAAAAAAGCCTCCCGAAAGATTGCCAAATCATGGCCTTCAAAAATTCCCCATCTAATCTGAAGAAGCATATCAAGGTAAGTTAAAAAATGCAATGACATATAAGCTAGTAAATAAGCGCTAGTTCAGTTCTCCCTATTCACTCAGGACGTAGCAGCTAACGTTAGCTAAAGCTAACCTAGCTAGCTAGCTTTATGCTACATGCTAGCATAAAGGCTCAGCTCAGGATTCTGACTCTGGAATAATAAATAATAGTAGATGAAGTGCTGTTGATTGCTAATGCAGATGTAGTTTTCTGTTTTTGTGAACACCTGTATGGCCTTTCACACGTTTGAAATAATATAAAAAATATCTATCACGCTTTTGACTGCCTTTTTTTAATATACACAGTACTTTTACTTTATTTATACTTGTACTTTCGATACTTGAGTAGCAATTTTTGAATACTTCTACTTGCAATACTTAAGTACAAAAAAAACTAAGTACTTCCAAACTTAATTATGAAGTTGAAAGAACAATTAAACTTTTACTCAAGTCAATTTTTTTATATAGTACTTGTACTTCTAATCCAGTACTTTACACATCTCTGTTCCTTATGTTGGATGTTGGACGTGAGTGTTCTCCTCCGAAAAACTGGCATTTGTGTCGTTAAATCAGCTAAATCAGGCGGCGAAAATATCCGATGAAGCAGAAAGGTTTTGAGAGCCATTTCCCCCCCGACGGGTCATTTATCCGACAGCCTTTTGTGGGTGTACAGAGTTTACACCTCAGTAGTTTTTACACACGACCAGAAATCTGAGCTGAACGGTAAATGTGGAAAGCAGCTACTGACGCTTAATTTTTCTTATCAAAAGCTGAATATTTCTTTTTGAGAGTCCATCTCTCCATCAAACACCGCCTTTATGACCCATCAGGGTTTAAGATCCTCTTCCGAAAACCTAAATAAGTCAATTAGAAAGACCTGGACAAAGAATGAGATTCAGTAAATACCTCTAGAATTAGTAAGTAAGGTTCCTCTGCTGCCCCCCAAACAGGAAAAACAACAAGACCGAAGGGGGGGGGGGGGGGACTAATGTATATTAAAAGACTTTAAAATCCAGATAAAGTCAGATGGTTGGCACGAAACTCCTCCATGCTGAGGCCAGAGTAAGCAGCTTTAAAATGGATTGAAACAGAAAAAAAAGAAGAGATATCTGCCATAAAACGCGTCCAGTTAAACCCAGAGTTTCTGCCTCGGTCTGAACGATAAAGACCAACGAACCTGCTTTCTAACCAGCCGACTCCTCTGGGGAGCAAACCAGGTCAATGGAAGCTAAAAAGTGAGGAGATATAGACGGATCCAGGCTTTACACTCGTGTTTACTATTGTATATTTTCATTTTATGGTCAATCAC